GCCTTGGGGCAGCAGCATTTCAGAGGATGCCACGGCACGGGCTGAACCTCCGTCCTCTCCCTTTACCTCCACCCATCCTTTCCCCCCTGGGGAATTGGGGTTCCCTTCCCCACGAACCACGTGGCCGACATGTCCCGGGAAACCAGAATTTCCTACGCAAAGGCCAAAATTCAGGTTTATTGTGGGCGCTGCACGCCCCACCCTCCGGTTGCCCGTCATCCGCCGGACCAGCCATAATCCTGCCCGCAGCGGTGGCTCGGCGCCTGGGCATCTCCTCGACAGCGGATGCTCTGCTGCAGAAGCGCTTATAAATTATGGATTTGATTTTTGTTGTTGTTGTTCCTCATCCCTGCTAGGAGTCATCATAGAGAGGGTTGTTGTAGTTGCCCCAGGAGCCGTAGTCATGGTCATCCAACAGCCTGCCGTAGGAGGAGTGCCTGCCAGGGGAAAGCAAACCGCCCAGCGTTACCGGTTGCTGCTTTGCTGGCTTCTTAATTATTTTACCGTGAGGCGACAACAAAAAACGCATGCAAGTCCTCACTAGGTCAAGTTTTGGGATATTTTAGCAGGAAGCGCCAAGACAGAAGATGAGCCCAGGCAGAATTTTGCTCCCGTTGAACCGAACTAGGACACGCCAGGGCATTAAAACAAGAACTTCGCTCGACTGCGTTGTCGGCAAAGCCTCGTTACAGACGCTCGGTGCGGGGCCGCGCTGCCGTGCGTTGGCCAAGTCACAGCAAGACCCGCGGCAGCAGCTTGTCCTAGGGATAATAATTACTGGTTATGACTGTGCTCAACAGCGTCTCCGGCATTTGAGTGAGGCTGTTGTAAAACGAGGAAGAAAACACTCTGCTTTCCCATATAGAAGCGGTAGAAAATGCGGCTGTTCTGGGACTGGAGGCTGCGCATCGCCCCGCCGGGCTCGGGGACAGCATCTCGCCAGGGCTTTGCCCCTGAGCATCACCTCTGCGATGGTGAGAGGGGCTGCAGCCTGGCAGGGAGCGGGCACAGCTCGAGCACCCCACCGGCAGGTGCCCCAAAACCAGCCTTACCTGATCTTGAGGTACGCCGCTGCGCCGAAAACCAGCACCACCACCACGATGACCGTCACGGTTATGGCC